CGCTCAAAGAAAGATTTAAACTTGTGGTGCTATTGCCACCTCATGGTCAGCCCCCATATCCTTCAAGCCTGCATTAAGGCTGTCAGATCACCTCCCTACCTTCCCTACACAGAAGCAGTCAGCCAGGAGCTCTGCTGAGACCAGAACTTCATCCCGCGGCAGTGAGCAGCTCTAGCATTTGAAAGAGAGAGTCTGTTTTCCAGGAGCTCCTCATGAGTTTCCCCGACCAGACCATTACGCTTGCCCGATAGATGAGCATGGCACGGGTCCATCCATCTTACATTTTGAGCACCTACCGTGTGCCGGCCTCAATGAGTCACAGCCCAATAATGGAGACTAACATTTAAGCAAATCCTTTCAAGGTGTGAAGCTGTAATCCTAAGGGGTGAAACACTCAGAAAATAGAACTTTTAAGGTAGAAGTCAGTATGTTCCAGCCAGACCTGAGAGAAGGGTATTGCAGTCTGGGCTCAGGAGGAAGCTGGAGGGTTTGGGAAGCTGCAGGTGGTTGGGTTTGGTGGGAATAAGAGGCAGTATGTGCCATGAGTGCGAACAACCAGGTCTGGAGACTCTCCTCAGCCAGGCCAGGGGGTGGAGTGCCTGAAGGTTTTCGGCAGGGGATGATGATCAACTGTGCTTAGGTCAGTGATGCGGAGGGTCTGCCTTCTAGAAGACTCTCTCTGGAACACTGTTTGCATGGAAATATCGTGTCCACCCTCTTTCCGAGGCCTGGGCCCTCCACGCCTGGCCTAGACCTTGCGGGGGACAGCTCAGGTCTCTGTAGCTCTAGGACACGTGGCAGTGCTCACCTTCCAACTCCTGTTCAGCATGTGACCAGCTCACAGGCGGCTAAAAACAGTCCAGCCTTGGACACTCACTGGTGCTTGAGGGCGGGGGGAAGCCAGGGTAGATAGCTCAGGAATCCCCCAGGCACCCAGCTGTGCAAGCATAACCCAACTTTCAAGGCAAGTAATTTCCATAAGAGTTGGCTTCTTGGCATTCAGGGACCAACACCTGACCTACTTCCCCACCAACCCTTCCCACAGAATGGGGATGTTTCAATAGGGAGCATTTCCCTCCTCCCCGACTTTATTAAAACAATTCATCTCACACCTGCCCCTGTTTAGTCACTTAAGGCCCCGGGGCCTTCAGGCCACTCCCATGCCCTATCCTGACTGAATGCAGAGGCCAGCCCACACAACCAGTCATGGGTCACTTTTGTGGGCTGGCCCCTCCACAGCTAACAGCTGCCCCATCTCAGTCCAGGTGAGGAGGTGCCTGGAGGGAGGGAATAAGGAAGAAAAGCACCGCTGTAGAAATGGAGGTAAACAGAAGTGTCACATGGGGACATTGTGCACCCAGCCACTGCCCCTCCCCGCTAAAGCTGAAGAGTGAAAGATTCCACGAGTACCCCTCCCAGACAGGGGACACCCCCAGGGAGGAAGCCTGGCACCCTGCCTGGCTTGAGGCTGGGTACACTAGAAGCTGCAGGTTCCCTGAGAGTGAGCCCAGAAAAAAGAGGCTTGTAGGGAGACACTTGGGGGAGGATTTGAGATGTTCCCCCAAAGCTTGGGGGCTGAATATGGACGTCGAAGCCAGTGCAAGTTTCTCCTTTGGGGATTTCTGAAGGCAGAATACTCACTGAAGCTTATCATGATGGCGGGACACATTGAGGGCACATGCCACCAGGTGTCTATGCTCCTTGGGAGGCAGAGTTAGATCTCAGTAGTTCTCAGGCTTCATGTCAGTGAATCTCAGGGGTTACAGGAGGAAGAGTTAAGGGCTGTGGTGGTTGCTGAACCCAGACAGGTGGAAACCCACCCAGAGAGGAGTCTGGGACGTGGGCCCTGACAGGGTCAAGAGAAGCCTGGACATCCTCTCTTAGGGAGTCTCTGAGAGGGTGGATCTCGAGTAAAGCAGATGCCACCCCTGGGCAATTCCATGCACTGTGCACACAGAGTCCACCTGGCAGAAGACAAAGTCAGGCCAAGCTGGGGCATCCTGAAGCTGTCCCCCACCAACAGGTGGCCCATCCCATGAGAGTCCTGTGGCCTTGTCTCCATCTGGAAGACGGGAGGCCCATGCCTCTCTCAAATTTCTGACGTCTTACAAGTGAAGCATGGACTGGCCCTTTGTTCTGGAGGTGCAGACAAATATTATCTCCATTTTGCAGATTGGGAAACAGAGGCATCTACAAGTGAAGGGATTAAATCAAGGCACACAGGCTGCGAATGCCAGAAGGAGCTTAGATATCTGAGGTTTGCACTCCTAACCACTGCTTCCCAGGGCAGCTAGAATGCCTCAGCATGGCTGGGCCCCTGAATGTACTCCTGCCCTTGGCAGTTATTTCTAATAGTTCAATGTTTCCATGAAGCTGACACACAAGTAATTACTCACAGGGTCTGGATTCCCTGCAAATAGACTCTCTCATTGCTTCCTGGCTGAATGGGATATCAGAGTCCCTGTCACCTGTCACCTGGCCAGGCTGTTGCTCTCATCCCTCCCTCCCCTCACCTCAGTGCTGCAGGGTCTATCAGTGGCCCATCCTCCACTCTGCCCCTTGTGGCCCCTCCTCCACTCTGCCCCTTGTCACCTCAGGGCTCCCTGGACAGTCTTCGAATTTCTCTGCCTAGGGCCGTTCTCTGGCTGCTGGAGCACAGAGGCGCTGGGGAATGAATCCCCCTAGAAAGCAACCCCCAACTGATGACAGGGTGCAGTGTGCACATACCCAGCTCCCTCACCCTTGGGTAGGGTCCTTGTGAGGTGTGCATTCTTCACTGGCCCCAAAGTTCCCCAGTGGGTGTGAACCAAGTATCCACAACACTAATCTGCTTTACAAGCAAGGTGTTCTGCCCTTCCAGGTCTCCCCTCCCACTTACTACTGGTGTGACCTGGAATCACCTCCAGAAGAATCCAATCTTTGAGGGTCTGTTGCCAGAGAAGCCAGACAAGGGTAACCCGCCTCCCTTCCTCCAGCCCAAACAGAAAAGAAGTGGAGCTACCTCGTCTGCCCACCTTAAGGACCTTTCTCCCTGCTTTCCTCTAGCTCTGATGGTTCAGCCCTTCCTAAGCTCCTGTCGTGGAGAGGTCCCCCTCCCTCCTGTCCCAGAGAAAAGCCTGTGGGACAGATGAAGAAACTGAGGCACAGAGAGATTAATGACCCTGTGGAGAGCTGTCCTCACTGCCCCCCTCCTCACCACTACATGGGCAGAAAGATGGCTTGGGGTTGCTGGGAACTGCATACATTTTTATTGCCTTGGATCTCCTCACCTGGCATCTTCCATGCCTGAATAATATGTGAGATTTTCTCCCTCCCATGCTTTCTACCTGTTTCATCTTTCCAGGCCCAGCATGGTTGCTGGGATCTCCAAGTGCCCACCCCCAAGCAGGCAGCTTGCCCCAGAGCACACTGGGGCCAAAGTACTGTCTGTCCTTCCTGCCCAGGATGCCGACCTGCATCTCTGCTTGGCAGAGATTTGTGGGCACACATCGAAACTCGGGCAGGATGTTCTCCCCCTTCTGTCACCCCTGGAACCTTCAAAATCTCTCATCTAATTTGTTTTGTAGCTTGAATTTCACTTCATTGTTTTCAGCCCATTCTCATAACGCTGAGATTCTACTGAATTCTTTCTGTTATTCTCACTGGTGTTTAGCTCCCTCCCAATTTCATATCCGCTCTGAATTTAATTAGCAGGCTATGTATCCAGATCACTAAAAAGGCTGTCAGGGATTGCTCATGGTGAAGGCCGATGGCCTCGCCTCTCTCCAGCCCCACTCACACACACACTCCGCGTGCACATTGCCGACCGCCTGGGGTGCCTGGGCACAGCTGTCTTCTGCACCCTGCTGCCTGAGGGTGCAGCTTTCTGAACAGGGTTGAGGGGTGCTGCTCCAGCTGAGCCTCCAGACTGCCCCACGCCATGAGGGACCAAGGGACACTTGCAGCCAAGGTCATCCAATTGCCCACACCACGTTCCTTCCTCATCTCTGTGCACGTTGTTAGCCTCTCTGAAGAACAGGGTTTTCCCCTGTGTAGGAAGGACAATGGTACCTGCTTTTCACTCTGTGTGTGTGAAGGGGAGTTGGGAGTGGGATGAGGAGAGATGACATGTGCACAGCAAGCAGCCTGGAGCTGGGACAGGGGAGATACTTAATAAAAGCTTGCTTCTTCCCCCAATTTCTCTGAATCAAGACAAATGTGCACTGTGAGCTTGGATGAGTCTCTCCGCTTCTGCTATGGCTAATGTGGTCATAAGGAGATTTCTGGAAGAAGATGAATTTGTCCAAATACCTCCCAAAACCATAGCTCTGTGAATGCCCACTCCTGGATACGAGGCTCTGACCAGGCCCCCTTCCAGTGATATGCAGCTCCTGGGGTCATGTCTAAAATGGGAAGTTCTCATTGGTGCTCCACGAAAGGGCTCATCTGATTTTGCTTCTGCAAGTATACCCAGCAGCTCACAATGCCAGGCACACATTGACATTGACAGCCAGCGAGTCAATGTCCACAGCCCCCTTTTCCCTTAACAACAGAACACCTGGATTTCAGCTGGACCCCAGGTCGCTTTGCAGTTGGCTGTGACCAGATAACCAAGTTCTGGTCGATGCAACGTATGCAAGTTTCAGGACATGTCTTTGAAGAGAAAGAGATGCCCTTCCCTTCCCCTGCCTCCTCTGCAGCTACCCAGAATGTGAACTTATGCAGGACTGGATCCGTTCCCTTGGACTATGCGACAGAAGCTGCACGTTGAACACATCAGCACAAAAGAGAGGAGTCTGAGTCCACTGCCGCCCTTGCCACCTGCTGGACATCCACAGGATAGAGAAATCGAGTTCTATCTGATTAGGGCACTGATTTATATTTTATATATTTTGTGTATCTGCCCAAACTGCATCATAACCATTACAGTGGGAGATAAATCAATATTCATTGATGGAATAGCAAACTTTAGAGATCATGAAGGTTTTCCAGAACAAAGTCACAATAAAAATGAACCATACCTTGTATTAGGATGAACTGCAGGAGACTGACCTCTGGGACAGGGGAGTGAGGACCGCAGCGGACATTCTCCCTAACAAACACCATTCACCTACAGAAAGTTGTAAAAACAGTCATTTAAAGTCTCTGGAAATTGTTCTGGTGGCATACCAAAATAGAGAAGCATTTATTCAAGAAAATCTACCAAATCTTCATAAGAACAGGGAGCATCTGTGGATAGTACTAGCTCAGTCCCCCAGTCCCAAGGTCTATCTTAGAGAAAGCACTCCAGGAGCTAGAATTCAAGTGAGCACAACCAAAAAGACAGGACTCTTCCTCTCTCCAGCTCCCAGTTTAGACCTGGTTTCACCTACTTACTGAGACCTGCTCTGGGCAGGTATGCCCAAGAAGACAGGCTCCTTGAACTCAGCTGTCTTTTGATTCTAATGATTTGACATCTGGGCCCCTAGTAACTCTGAGAGGCTGCCCTTCCCAGAGCTAGCCAATCCATGGAGACAGTAAATGACTGGTTGTTATAAACTGTGGGTTTTATTGTCCACTGCCTGGACACAACTGTCATTGGAAAGAGAGCTGATTACTCACAGTCATGGGGAACTTTGAGAGAGGAAGCCAGGCTTAGCTGGATAAAGTTGGCCCAGGAATATGTCTTATTAGTCAGGGTTTTCCAGAGAGACAGAACCAATGAGATAGATAATAGAAAAATGAGAGGGGATTTACTATAGGAATTAGCTCACACAACTACACAGGCTGAGATGTCCCGTGACCTGCTGCCTGCAAGCTGGGGAACCAGGGAAGCTGGTAGACTGGCTCATTCCAAGTCTGAAGGCCTGGGAACCAGGAGACCTGATGGTGGAACTCTCATCTGAGGCCAAAGGGCTGAGAACCTGAAGGCCACTGGTGCAAATCAGGAGTCTGAATGCTGGAGAACCTGGAGTTCCTATAAGCAGGAGAAGGGTGTCCCAGCTCCAGAAGAGAGAGGGAATTCACCTTTCCTGTTTTTGCTCTGTATGGGTCTTCAATAATTTGAATGGTGCCACCTATATTGGGTGAGAGTGAACCTTCCTTTCTCAGTCTAGTGACTCAAATGCTAGTCTCTTCCAGAAACACTTCACAGGCCTACCCAGAAGTCATGCTCTACCAGCTATCTGTGTATCCATTAACCCAGTCTAGCTGACAGCTAAAATTAGCCATCATATGCCAAAATCCCTAGCAGAAGAAATCCGTTCATTGCTCTGGTAGTGCCAAGAGTGGGGTGATCCGATACCTCCTCCCCCAACCTCTTCATGGGGTGAACAGAACAGGGCTGCCACCTCCATGAGGTGCTAGGTCGAGGCGAGTGAAGTACTTTATTTGGGTACAAAATGTAAAAGGGCACCAAAAAACTCAGTAATCAAGGAAAATAATATGTATTGTGTTTATATTATATTATATATTTTTTTATAAGTAAATATTGAGTAAGTTAGAATTTTATATTTATAAATAAATTATAAATAAAAATATTTTTAAAATCTAAATTAATGCAAAAAATCACAATAAATAAAATATCAAAATGTGAAGATAATATTCTTTTTTTTTCTTTTCCTTTTATTTTTGAGACAGAGTCTCGCTTGTCACCAGGCACAAGGCTGGAGTGCAGTGGCGTGATCTTGGCTCGCTGCAACCTTCGCCTCCCAGGTTCAAGCAATTCTCCTGCCTCAGCCTCCCAAGTAGCTGGGACTACAGGTGCATGCCACCACACCCAGCTAATTTTTGTGGTTTTAGTAGACAGGGTTTCACCATGATGGCCAGGATGGTCTCTATCTCCTGACATCGTGATCCATCCACCTTGGCCTCCCAAAGTGCTGGGATTACAGGTGTGAGCCACCGCACCCAGCAAGATGATATTCTAATTCCCAATTTTTCCTTTTGCCCCAGGCTCCAGAATGACCCCCCATGTATATGCCGTTACTGAGGGGCCCAGAGCCAAAGGGAAATAAGTGAGCAGTGCTTGGGCCTCTGCTATATCATTGTTTTGTATTGAAACTCACTGAGAGGAAATAAAGGAAGGTGGAAAGGGCAACATTCTAAGGGGGAAGCAGGCAGCCTCACAAGGAATGAGGCCAGAATGCTTCCAAACACTCAGTCCACACATTTCCAACCACTCACAAGATAGAACCTTCTTTTGGACACTAAGACGACCTGTTCACTTGGACCAGTGCATGTAACCTTCATAACAAGCCCGGATCTTCTGTGTTCTTACTGTCTGCATTTTATAGTTGAGGAAGCAAGGGCCTGAGGCATTCTCACAGAGAAGGCAAGGGCTGGCCAGGACTAGATCCCATTCCATCCACCCCAGACTCCTGCTTTTGGTATCTACACCCTACTACCCATCACGCATGGCCACAGTACCACTCTCTGTGAGGTCAGTCCATGGTACCTGGGCCATGGCTCGTAGATTCTTTGTCACCTCTCAGATTTGGGCTCATTGAAGGATTGTATTGATTAGGTTAGGAAATGGCCAAGAAAGGGGTCTGAAAAGCAAGTGCTTTCCCATTTGGCAGAGGAGACAATGTAGGAATGAAACCTCCTGGGTCCAGGTAGCCAAGGGGGCACTGAGAATGAAAGATCCCAAAAACTAGGGCTGAACACAGAGTGTCCTCTGTGCCTGAGTAGTTCCTGACACATCCCTGGTAGTTGATAAATGTTTGTTGAACCTCCGGTAAATTAATGCAGGTTTTCCCAGCCTCCTTACTGTGGACAACCTTAGCTGGATGGTTCTTTGTTCCCAGGGCTGTCCTGTGCGTTGTAGGATGTTGAACAGCATCCCTAGCCTCAACTCACTAAAGGCCAGTAGTACCTTCCAGCTGTGACAACCAATAACATCTCCAAACATTGTCAAATGTCTCCTGCAGGGCAAAATCACCCAACTGGGAGCCACTGTGTTAATGAAACAAAGAATAAAAGCATGAACAGCTATTGGCCATCTTAAAGAAGAAAGGGGCCCAGCATGCCACTGAACAGACCCAGATGAGAATCGGTGGGCAGGAGGGAGGCCCTGGAACATCTCTATTAGGAGGCTGAGATCAAGTCACTGTGACTTCTTTTTCCCACTCGTCAAACTGTGTATCCATAGCAAATCTGCAAAGTGTGACACTTTCAGCAGCAACAAATGACCTATCAGAGACCCAGCCCAGGGCTATGAGCACTGTCAGTGTTCCACATGGCTGCCTGACTTATGCTGGGGCCAGAAACAATTCACTACTTCTCCTTAAAAGAGCAATTTCCCCTTAGAATGATGGATGGCCTGCCAGTCACCAGCCACAAACCAACCCTATTTCTCACCCTTCACTCGGCTGTGCCACTCCAGGGCTTTATGGCAAATTAATCAACAGTTGAGAGCAGATTGGGAAAAGATGCAGGGTGGGGAGTACAAATCTCCAAATTCAAAGAGACAAGGCCAATCAGATTATGTTTCTAGCCTCTGCCCCATCAGCCAGTGCTAGCTGCTGTCCAGTTAGGAAGGGCAGAGGCAGACAAGCCTCTCATGTCTGGGACTTGGAGTCACATGTCCCCAGCTGGAGTCAGCCTTTACATTAGTCCTTGAAGTTTCCTGTAAAGGAAGAATATGGAAACCACAATAGGATTTATTCAACACCTTTGAGATTGGCAGAAATGAAGTCTGACAACACAAAAGTTGATGGAAATATGGAATGATGAGAGCTTATTGCTTATGGACATGTAATCAGGGAAAGCACCATGGAAGATGATTTGTGACTGTCCTGTGACTTGAACATGCACATGCTGAGTGGCCCAGGCATCCTTTTTCTAGATACCAAATGGGAATCAGCAGGAACTTGTGCATAGGTTTGCCATCACACATGCAGAAAAGGCAGCATTGCTCACAGAATACAAAGACAGGAATCACCCAAACATCCATCAATAGGAGGATAAATGAACAGAATGCTATATCAAATAGAGACAGATTTCACAAATGTAGCATACAAGGGGAAAAAACAGTCCAAAGGGAATGGGTACAAAATCATTCCATTTCAGATAAAGCTCAAAAACCTGGAAAACTAAACATCATAACCATTAGAGAGACATTCCTGTGTAATAAAACTCTAAAAATACAAAAACTACCTTAAAAAGTAAAGGATTGATAAGCTCAATTCAAGAGAGTGATTGCAATTGAGAAAGATATACTCTGGAGACATCAGAGTTACTGGTCACTGGTAATGTTCTATTGCTCAAGCTGTGGGGTGGGTACATAGGTGTTCAAGGAGTTATTGTTACTGCTCAAATCACGTGTGCAGATATTACTATATATTTATTTATATGCTTGAAATATATTTCCTAATAAAAATTAAGGATTGTGGATGAAATGGCAGAAGGAAAGGTTAGCCTGTTTGGAGATGTTCCCAATGAGGTCAGAACCCCTAAAAAATATATGGCCTATAAAAGCAGCAGGCTGACCCTCCTCACAGCAAAGGTCCGAGGATTGCCCTTGCATAGGATCATCCAGTCCGCTAGGGGGAGCTCCTTGAGAAGCCAAGAAATGCCTGAAGCTAAAGAAAAGGAAAGGGACTGTTTTCCAGTCTCTGCTGCCTCTGACTCCTCTCCATGGAGCTAGGAGTGTGGACTATGTGTCAGGCAGTTAACAATCCTACAAGGGAGGCTTCATCGTATCCATTTTACAGATGAGGAAACAGGCTTAGAGAGTTGATATTGCATGCCCAAGATTACACAACTACTAAAAAGTGTGGACAGTCCCTAACTCTACCCTGTCTGACGGCAAAGCTTGACCGGTTTTCCATACTGCAGGATTCCTGTTGAGTGTCCTCATTCACCAACCCCCGTCCCAGCTACCACAGAAATGACTCCAGAGACACAAATGGACAAAAACGCCTCTTCCTCTCAGGTCGCTTCACACAAGCTCAAGTTAAAAAGAAACATTTTAATTCATCCAGCCCAGCTGCCAGGCCACTAGCATAGCTGGACTGTGTATTAGTTCATTTTCATGCTGCTGATAAAGACATACCCAAAACTGGAAAGAAAAAAAAAAGAAGATTAATTGGACTTACAGTTCCACATGTCTGGGGAGGCCTCAGAATCATGGCAGGAGGTGAAAGACACTTGTTACAAGGTGGTGGGAAGAGAAAAATGAGGAACCTGGCTGGTCCAAGTGCAGTGGTGTTTACAACTAATTGATCACAACCAGTTACAGATTTCTTTGTTCCTTCTCCACCCCCACTGCTTCACTTGACTAGCCTTTTAAAAAAAGAGGGAGTAAAGTGAGGAAGAAGCAAAAGCAGAAACCTCTGATCAACCCATCAGATCTCGTGAGAAGAGAGTAGCATAGGAAAACCAGCCCCCATGATTCAATTACCTTCCTGGGTCCCTCCCAAAACACATGGGAATTCTAGGACATACAATTCAAGTTGAGATTTGGGTGGGCACACAGCAAAACCATACCATTCTACCCGCAGCCCTGTCGAATCTCATGTCCTCACATTTCAAAACCAAACATGGCTTCCCAACTATCCCCCAAAGTCTTAACTCATTTCAGCATTAACCCAAAAGTCCATAGTCCAAAGTCTCATCTGAGACAAGGCAAGCCCCTTCCACCTATGAGCCTGTAAAATCAAAAGCAAGCTACTTATTTCTATATACAATGGGGGTACAGGTAATGGGTAGATACAGCTGTTCAATATGGAAGAAATTGGCCAAAACAAAGAGGTTACAGGGCCCATGCAGTTTCAAAATCCAGCAGGTCAGTCAAATTTTAAAGCTCCAAAATGGTCTCCCTTGACTCCAGGTCTCACATTCAGGTCATGCTAATGTTAAAAGTGGGTTCCCATGGTCTTGAACAGCTCTGACCCTGTGGATTTGCAGGATACAGCCTCCCACCTGGCTACTTTCACAGGCTGGCATTGAGTGTCTGCAGCTTTTTCGGGTGCATGGTGCAAGTGCCAGTGGATCAACAATTATTGAGTCTGGAGGATGATGACCCTCTTCTCACAGTTTCACTAGGCAGTGCCCTAGTAGGGACTCTATGTGGGGGATCCAAACCCACATTTCCCTCCCACACTGCCCTAGCAGAGGTTCTCCATGAGGGCCCCTTCCCGGCAGCAAACTTTTGCCTGGGCGTCCAGGCATTTTCATACATCTTCTGGCAATTTCATACATCTTCTGAAATCTAGATGAAGGTTCCCAAACCTCAGTTCTTGACTTCTGTGCACTCAACACCGTGTGGAAGCTGCCAAGGCTTAGTGCTTCTACCCTCTGAAGCTACAGCCCAAGCTGTACTTTGGCCCCTTTCAGCCACAGCTTGAGTCACTGGGAAATGGGGCACCAAGTCCCTAGGCTGCACACAGCATAAGGTCTCTGGGCCTGGCCCACAAAACCACTTTTTCCTCATGGACCTCCAGATTTGTGAGGGAAGGGCTGCTGTGAAGGTCTTTCGCATGGCCTGAAGACATTTTCCCCATGGTCTTGGGGATTCACATTAGACAATTTTAGACATGTTTAGTTTGAGATGTCTATGAAACATCCAAGAAGAGATGTGATGTATGCAGTTGTTTAATCGAGACAAAAACAGACTTCAAGAGAGAAGTTGAGGCTGACTTATAAAATTCTCTACATATGCCATCATCAACATATGTAAATTAAATTTATGAAACTAAATGTACTTACCCAGGAGGAAAGCACAAATAGGGCACAGAAGAAAGGAGAACTGGGACCCTCTGGCATTAAGAGTTTTGGAGAGAAAAGGAGGAAACAATATGAGACCAAGTTAATCCAACAGTCATTCAACTGCTGCATATACATATACACACCTTGTAAAGTTCAACAACCTCTAGAGATAGGGAATGTAAGCTAGAGCATTTGCAAAATATTCACAATATCCATCATACAATGTAAAAAACACCAGTTATTCAAATAAGCATTAAAATGTATCTACAATTGAAAAGAAAAACATGAATAATGTTGATCATCCAAGTTTTGGAATTAGAAGACAATGTAACTATTGTAAATAGATGAACTATTATAAATATATTAACTATTGTAAATATGTTAAAGAGTTAAGAGGGAAAAAATAAACAGAATGTGTGAACAAACATATGAAGGATTTCAAAAGAGGAATTTAAACAACAAAAAGAAAACCAAATCAAAATTCTAGAACTGAAAAACACAATACATAAATGAAAAATTTATTAGATGAGTTTAGCATCAGACTTAACACAAAGAAAATGAATCAGTGGATTTAAGGCATATTGACAGAAATTAAGGTAAAATACAGAAAGAGATTTTTTTGTGTGTCTAGTACATATGGAGCAATATCAAAGAAAGAGGAAGAGGGTGGAATAAATATTTAAGAAGAAATTACCAAAAATTTTTCTAAAAATTGATGAAATATCTAAATCCAGAAATCCCAAAGTTCCAGGCAGCATAAATACAAAGACCACTCCTAACATGTCATAGGCAAAGTGCTGAAAATAAAAACTAAAGAAAAATCTTTAAGTTTTTCAGAGACAAAGGACAATTTATATCTACAGAAACAACCACATTCCAAGCAGAAAAAAATAATAATAAAAGGAACTGAGAAGACAAGCATACACTCTCTAAGTGCCAAAAGGGGAAAAAAGCAAACTCAGAATTCTATGTCAGGTGAAAAACACTTTAAAAAAATCAAAGCTAAATAAAACACAAAAACATTTTTCAGGCAAATATAAAAGATGAGAAAATGTATTGCCAGCAGACAAGCACTACAAAAAAGTGTTAAAGGAAGTCCATCAGACTGAACAGAAACTATGCCAGATGGCAACCAAGACATGCAAGAAGAAATAAAAAGCATCAGAAATTCTAGATATGACTGTAAAGATAGAAGAATATTGTTCTTAATTGATTTCTAAAAATTAATCTGTTTATAGCAAAAGTAATTAAAATGCATAATAAAGATATAGAATGTATAACATATGTAGAAGTAAAAACATAAGGCAGTCATAGCCAGAAAAGCTGGAGGAAGGGAAAATTACTTTATACACTAAGCAATATAATAACTTATGGTAGATGATGATATTTTTGCTTAAAGTAGCAAAAATAATACTAGTAACACAGACAAGCATAACTAAATAACCAATAGAGAAAATAGGATGAAAATGTTTTTTTAATTTCTTTAAATGCTTGATTACTCCAAACGAAGGCAGGAATAAAGGAGCAAAAGAATAAACACGAATGAACAAATATAAAACAAAAGCAAGACCATAGTCTTAAATCCAACAATTTCAATAATTGTCTCAAATGGAAATTAAGCACATAAAAGACAGAAATTGTTAAACTGGATTTTTTTAAAAATCCATAATTCTATGCTGTTTACAAAAGACAGAGTTCAAATCTAGTCAACAACATAAGTCAAAAGAAAAGGTTAGAGAAATCTAGTTTGTAGAAACCAATAACGAGAAAGCTTGTGCCACTAAAATGATAATAGCTATGGTAGACCTCAAGAGTGGCAGGGATTCAGAGGAATGTCTCACAACAATGAAAGGATTAATCAATCAGGAGCATATGAGAGTCCTAATTTGGTTGTGTCTGATGATAAGGCTTTAAAATATATGAAGCAAAAGTTAACAGATTAAACAGGAGAAATAGACAAATTCACAGATAGAGCTGAAGATCTTAACACTCCATAATTGCTTTAAAAAGGCAGATTTTTAAAAATTAGTACAGTATTAATGAATGAAACAACAAAATTAACCAATTTGGCCAAATTGATTC